CTCATTCACCATCAGGTCAACCAGTCATTGTTGTCACCCTAAACTATCGTTTGGGTGTATTAGCAGATATGTTCCTAAATGAGTTAGTCGAAGAAGATCCACAATGGCCAACAGCAGTGTGACAATATTCGGTCAAAGTGCTGGAGGTTTGTCTGTGACTGACCTCGGTGCTGTAAAAGGATCTGCTGGTCTCTATCGAACAGCAATAAGTGAATCTGGCTTGGGTTCACCTGGAACATCGTCATCGTACTATAATATAAGTTCCACTCTCAATGCTTTGAATTCATTTGTTCAACGATTGCATTGTGATTATGAAGATAGACAACGATTACTTGCATGCATTCGCAATGCTTCCTTTGATGATCTTTTGCACACATATGGTTCTCGATATACACGACCTATTATTGAGAATTATTTCTTTCCGTTGTATCCACCATTGGCAATTAGTAGCGGTCAATATAATAATGTGAGTTTGATCATGGGTAATAATGACTATGAACAACCGATTTGTTTCGAACATCCATTGATGACTTCGAGTGAAGCTTTAACAGAAATTGCTGCTACTTTTCCTCCCGAACGAAGCCCAATGATCGCGGACTATTACCATTTGCATAACTGTTCAATGAGACCTACTGTTAATGCTACTCGCTGCTATGATATCGTTCGTCGAATATTAATGGACTCTATGTTTGACTGTGATATTCGTCGATTATTCAATGCATTTTATGCAAAATATGGCGCACAGTATGAACAGAATAAATTATTCTCTTATCATTTGAACTGTTATCCTCTATGTCCTATTGTACAGCAAGAAGGTATATGTCGCTATTCATCTGAAATTCTATTTGTATTCGGAACTGTTAGTGACGTCGATTCGCAACAGCAATTTCATTGTACGTAGAAGAACCAAACGCGATTTTTTTCGACCAAAATCATTTCACATTGGATCAGTATTGCTCAGACAGGCAGACCACTTCATACATGGCCAAGTTATACTCCATTGGTACCGAAATATCTTCACCTTACACCCGATCAGGACTTTTTACCTACGGATTGGAATAGAAATTGCCCGATTTTTTATGAGATTGTGGCAGAATGTGCGAGAGAATTATTTCAGTTCTGAAAAATGACACTGCGTGTAAGCGAAAAAAATGCGTTTTACAATAACATTTCGTTTGTGTTCGGAAGTCAATTCTGCTATTAACCATAGGATAGACTAGTAGAGAAGTAATCACAGCTGAATTCAGCTTGACGCTGCATTTCAAGTTTATAGAATTCTGGTTGTCGTGTACAAAATACATCCTAAAGTATAGAGGATTCTGCTGGAAGTAATCCAAATGTTACCGAACGTTTTGTTGGATTTTTATTTCTAATACGTTGTTTGGATAGGGTGACAGAATTGGAAGGAATGAAAATATTGCTGGTAAACAGTTGTAGTGGAATTTCACAGGTTGTTCGATTAAGGGTAGAGGTTTATAAAATTTCTTGTTGATGCAATGGAGGGAGGATTATTTGTGTAGATTATGGTGTCGTTTGTTGTTGGATTTTGCGTATTGTATAGACATCAATTTCCGAAATTTACATTCCAATGTCAGTGAGAGAATGTCGAAACTCATCGAAGCATGGCGACCACTCCTGCGAATGAATTTATTATCTATTGCAATTACTCTTTTGAATATTGTGGCAACAACATTACCATTCAGTGCAGTGCTGTGTACTTCTACAGGCGATCATCGAATAACTTTGAATTTGTACAATACAGTTACGGCTCGTAGTTGTATGCTTATAGTTGTTTTGGAGTATATGCACATGTTCATTTTGCATATTCCCTAGCTTATAGCAAAAGTGATATTACTACTTTAATTCGAAATGTGTTACATTGTGTCGGGTGTGCCAACGGAGAAAATGCTAACGTTTGTGTTGACGAAATGACAAAAGCCGGACTGGTAATTATTTCGGTAGAACTTCTGTTGAAAATAATTGTCGCCGTATGTTTTGTCAGAAAAGAAGATTGATTGTAACTCGCAGTTTTTAGCATTTATAACAACGCTCCATGAGCGTATTGATCGGCCGTACGTTTGTGCATTAGCCGGAAAATCAACAATTGTCGAAAAAAGTAAGCTGAATCTTTTAGTATGAACGTAACCTTGGCGTTTTGTTTTTGAAGAAATTTATGGAATGTTTTTTAATTAGGGTTTGTCTGCTAGTGAAATAATGGAAAGCATTGTACATGCAAAACGCAGGTAACGCACAGACGTTTTTTCAACTTTAAACGATTGTATCTGGAGAACGAAAAGAGGGAGAGATCTGAAATTTTCAACAAATATGTAACTAAACAAGTTCTATAATAGTTCAATGTCTGAGCCTTAACGGTTCAGCCATTCAGATTTTATCAATGAAACACTAGTCGGTAACACACAGACAAAAAAGGCCCTCGTTTCTCAGTGAATACGAAAGACACGATAGATTCTGCGAACTACTCCATGTTAATAGGTTTTCGCAAGAGAAGCTTTTGTAGCTGAACATCAGGGCTATCTATTGCTGAAAAGAAAATATGAATTACTTGAAAAATGAGTAAGTTATTGGCAAAACTTGAAGTAACGCACCGACATGTATTTACATAAAAGTTTGCCAATCTGAAAATATTATTTATAGTCTGAAAATATCACTCTAAAACATCGAAATAATAATGTTTATTTATATTTCAAGCGTTTAGCAACGATTTTTTATTCTTTTAGTAACGCTTATATATGTTCTTATTGATACAAAATGATAGAGTTTTTACTAAAAAAACGTTAAAAACTAGAAAAAAAAAACAGTCCATTTTGATGCTGCATCGCCATACATTCGACATTCAATAATATCCGGACGAATAGCAATAACAGTAAGTTACATAACTTTTATATATATATTCATTAGTGAAGTGTTTTCTTTTAGATAACTGTTTGCTGTATTTGAATATCGTATTGATATTTTATATTTCGCTGAACAAAGTTTAATACCATGTTGTAACGACAAACTGGTTGAGTAGCTGACCGCTTCTCACGGTATCGATGTTTATTGACTACTCTACATGACCAGAATGTATCTCTTTCACAATACGATACGCACTTATATAGAGAAGAGGAAAGAGAGATATGACCCGGAGATAATATGATATAGAGGTGAGAGAATAAAGAACAGAAAGAGATGAACGATATCATTATCGTTACACATGTAGGTGTAAATGCGCCAATCATTTATGTCATGATTTTCTTTTTATGCATAAGCTGAAAAAGGAAATGAATTGATATTTACTGTAAGTATGAATTCCTGACATAAATTGTATACTTTGTTAACGAGGCAAAGACCTTATGTTCATACCCATCTCTATAGAAAAATCTCTTGATTGTGTTATTTTTTAATTTCTTTACCATCGAGTCACTATATCTGTTGATATGAGAATTCAGAAAAAGAAAGGTTTAGAATTTTGATTAAGAATCGAACATTCGAGAAAAATGGGTGATATTTCCATTCACGAGATAAAGTCCTTTGTTGTCTATCTCAATAGTTTTATTTGAATTAATTTATGTGAAGATATAATTAACGTCTGATAATCATTGTCGTATTGAAGTATTTGATTATCCAATGAATTTATTCGTGTTAATCTCACAATGCAAAGACTTCTATCTTAACTTTCTACTATTTCTAAAACATATTTTTAGAGATACTCTCTATTCTCACTGATATAATATGTGTAAATATAATTTTTTTCATAAAATACGGGTTATTTGTTTTCCAACTTACCATTTCGATCGAATATTACGTAAACAGACTGAAATACATCATTGAAAAAAAAATTGAAGGCTTATTCTTTTATGCTACCGCAACTTGTTATCCTTCTATAGAATTATTTCATAAACTATTACAGAAAATCTCAATACTGCTATGGTTCAATATTCTGGAGATACAACAAATAGTTCATTAGCTATATTTACATTTCAGAGAGTTATTCTGATACGTAAACAACAAGATGATTTAGATACTCTAGAAAACATATAATGTCTACTGAACAATATGAAACAATCGTTATTGCATGGACTCGTGGTCAATTAACATATTTAATTGGAAGTTCAGAGGAGGGTTTAGGTGTAACAAATACTATTTTAGTTGAATGTGTTACACATGGTTTATATATTGTCAAAGTATAGGGAGGTTTAAAGAAGTACAGAAGTCCGCTTTTTCTTTGTAGAAAACAATACAAATGAACTATGTTAAAATCAAACGACTAAGAAACATTTGGGTATTACCGCTCGGGTGTGCAAGCCGAAAAGAAAGTTTGTCAATATTGAGCCATTCGAGAACAATTCTTGTTGAATTATTCGTTAAGAAAATAGTTTTTGTATATAATTCACAATCATCTTTCAATCCTGTCACAAGGATTTGTGAGGAAGGAATAATTGTACTGATGTCAATTGAATGTATATCGAATGTTCCATTTGAACTTGTAATTGTTGGATACGAACTTCCAAGTTGAGGAAATGAATATGAATATTGATATGGAGATGCCATGGAATTCGATGAAAGTACATATTCTTGACCTTGAGTAAATGCATTAACTCTAAGATAACCATTTTGATTTGATGAATTACTATTCATCATACAACCATCTTCGTAAATTGCAGAAGAAATATGTCGATAAATAAAATTTTCCCAAATAAAGTTTGCATAATTAAAATCAATATTTCCATTTGTTTTTATATGCTCGCGATTACTTTCAAAAACATCATCAAACTGAATTATTCGTCGATTGTTTAAATCTAAAATTGAAAGAGAAATGTACAAAACGTTTTATTTTTCTCATTTACTTTCAAAAGTCGTCAATCTTGTTTCTAATTGTTCTAATCTTATTTGTTGTTGTTTATCTTTATCTTCAAGTAATTGAATTTTGATTTGTTGTTCAATTAAACAGTTTTGTAAACATTCTATTTGATCATGACCATTCATTCGTTTGTATTTTCCTTGACAAACATGACATTGAAGCTCAACTTGTTCACATAATGGCTCATGAATATTTCGTTCTTTCTTAGGCATGGCTTTTGAACAACCAATACATTGTTCTATTTGAAAGTCGCATTGACATTCATGCTGTTCAAGAGATTCGTAGGATAAGATATCTTGACAACCGGTTTGTTGATTTTTGCAAAGAATTTTTAATTTTGAAAGTAATTGTACGAGAATAAGTGGTAAACGTTGACGTTGTTTATATTCACAATTATTTGGACAAACATTTGGATGTTTCTCTAACCATAATGAAATACAATCATCACAAAACGAATTTTCACATATTTCACATGTGCAAGGTTTCCAAAGAATATCATGGCAAATAGAACAAGTAATTAAATCTGTGGAATTTCCATTAGAATTGACAATACGATCGACGTCTATACCCATTTTTATAATTCTTAATAATATAGAAAAAGAAAGAACTATGTTAAACACTCGGTAGACTTTTTTTTTTCTATTCTCCGTCAGTATAGTTTATCGATGTCGATGAAAAGACATTTTTCTTTACTGATAAATACTATGTCAGACTAGACGGAACGGAAAAAGAAACTTTCTCCTTTTCTTATCTTTCCATAAAAAAACGAAGACGAAGAAACCGCACATTGAGATACGCATATAGATTTTTATCTTGCAAAATTTATGGAAAAGAATGTTGTTACATGAACTTGTTTTGAACAGTAATAAGAGACTCATATGTAAAAGTCTAGTTTTTAGCAAAGAACTTCCCAGGTGGAAGTTTCCAAAAATAATGATCAGATTTCAAAAGAAAAATACATCGAATATATAATATTAGCTTAGTATAAATATTGCCTTTCTAAGAAAAATGATATTTACGAGAGAAAATTGTCAATTCACTTGCTGTTTTGATATAGTATCTTGAAATACGTTCAGCAGGCAACGTCTATCTATCTATCTATCTATATATATAAAGAAGAAAATTTGTCTGTCTGTTTGTTCGCTATGCATTCAGTCTCTGTAATAGGTAGCGTCGCGAAACTGACGAATAGTATTACAGGATTACAAAAGAGTAAGATAAATCTTGGGGATGACTGAGGTCAAGAAGTGAACGGCTAGAATGTAGAATGAATATCAGAGAAAGAGGCAATTTTCTCGATAATTTCTGAGGCAGAGGCTAGCTTTGGTAACTCTTTTGTATAAAGAGATATAGCCGAAACTGTCTTTTTATGCGATACATGGCGGGAAGAATAAGGACTATAAGCGTAGAAATTTGAATTATACTGATTTTATCTGTTGCAGCTTTTCAACACGTGAGATGTTCGACATAGATATTTCGTTAATATAACTTTTTTTTTTATTCCTGTAATAGTAAATAATGAATGTAAGATGATGTTCCTACTTACTCACCGAGCAATAAGAATATATTTTCCTACAATCGTCGAAACAAAAATTACAAAATCATTACTGTGACAATCTCTCTGACATGCGTTGTACGCGCGATACGATTTTTCTCATCTAATGGATTATCCATATTATGTCCTTATCTCAGTCCATTTTGATGTACTTCGATATGATATATTCTTGCGTTCTCTTCTCCGTGGACGAGTATATAAACGCGTGTCTTGTATCAGAACGATGCGATTGATGAGGAAGAAATAAATAAGCGTAGTTCCATCAGCGCATACATCTCTTCCATCAGAAATCGTCACAATTACTATCATACTACGTTTATTATTAGTTATATCAACTGTTCTTCTCGAAAGTAGAATTCAATCACTATAGGATATTGACTGCAAAAACATAAGGATTATCCTGAGATTGATAAAAGTTGTAGCACAACTTCAATGTTGTGATCAAAAGTTAACTTGCCGTCGTAAGTATTCTTCAAGAAGCTATGATTACACACACATACATTTATCTTTTTGCATATTCTGTATTTTTTTCTATAAACTTTCAAATAATAATATGAATAGATTTCAACTGACACAATCGATTTTATTATAATAAAAGTACGGAGACACTTCTTTATGAGAGAGAACAGAATGTTTTAGAAAAATAATATGAAATATAATCCATCCAAGTGATTCTCTTTTCCAATGTTAATATTAAACTCTTATAGAAAATATAATTCACATGTTTGTTGTTTGGAACTGTATTCAAAGCTTTTTTATAATAAGATAAAGCTAACGAATAATTTTTTTCTTTTTCTTCATAAATTAATCCAATATTTTTATAAATTTCACCAAGATTTGGATGTTGAAGATAATTTTCAAACATAGATAAACATTTCAAATAATTTTCCATCGCAATATCAGTTTGACCAAGTTTATAATAAGCATAACCAATAGAATTATACAATTTTCCAGTTAATGTCGGTGAATTTACATCTTTCGCGAATAGAATTTCCCATGCTTCTCCAAAATAATCCAAAGATTTATAATAGTTTCCAAGTTTACATTGAATTAAACCAGAATTTATAAAAATAGATATCGGTGAGAGTTCATTCTTCTTGTTCAAAACATCGATTGATTCACTTTTTAAAGAATATCTCAATGCATCGAATAGTTGACCACATCTTAAATGAATTCGTGTAATATAAATATAAATGTAACAATAATTTTCATGTGTTTTATCATTTTGATATTTGTCAAGAATTTCATACGCTGATTGATAAGTTAATAAAGCTAGTTTATAATTTCCCAATTGTTCATAATTTGAACCCATATTGATATATGAAGTTGAAAGGGTTAGATAATCAATTGATTCCAAATTCATTTGATAATCAATACTTTGTTTCATTATATCACATGCTTTATCAATTTCTCCAATGGTGAGATAAGTTGTCCAGATTTGATCATATCGACGAAGAATATCACTGACTTCTTTACAATATTCCAAGGATTTCTGATAATAAACAATAGCATTCTCATATTCTTTGTTCGAAAAATAAATCGAAGCAACTAGGAAATGAAAAGTTTGCAATGAATTTTCATTTGAACAATGTTGAATAAAGTTTCTTGATGTCAGAATATATTCTAATGATTGTTTATAGTTATATGGTTTAGACTTGAGAAGAATTATTGTACAATTCGTATATGAGAATAACATGGAATCATATTGAATTGGATCACATGATGAGAAATGTTCGTTGGCTTTTTCTGCATAGATAAATGCAAACTTATAATTGAAGAGTTCGGTAAAACATGATGATGAGAGATCATAACATTTTCCTATTTGTTCGTGATTAGGACAAGTTGAATTGAGTAAAAATGTTAATGCTATTTTACATTTTGATAGAGATATTAAATAATCTTTTTTGTCTTGATAAACTCGTGCAATGAAATAATAAGTTTTTCCAAATTCATTATAATCATTTTGTGATATGTAAGAAAGAAGTTTTTCATAATAAAATATCGCTTGATCATAAGTATTTATTAATTCATAAATAAATGCTATTCGAATAAATGAATCATATTCAAATTTCAGTTTATCTTTACCTTTATATCGACTAATTACTTCTTCAGCTTTATTTATATTATCTAATATTTCATCAGAATTGTCTTTTTTAATATGATATATTGCAATTGAAAGATAAGTTGAACGAATATCGGTGGTTAAGATTAAGTCTTCTTCGATATTTTCAGTGTCAAATTTTTCAAAAATGACTCGTTCTCTATCAGTTATTGCGAGTATTTCATCCATGTTTGAGGGGTATTACTAATTTATGCTAACAGCACAAACAGCCAACTTTTCGAGATCGCATGTCGATCACTGCTACAAACACCCACAACTCGAGGAGTTATGAACACAAACACCCGCAAACACCCACT